TCTATAGAAAGACAATAAAAATTCAATTTTGGGAATCCATCCTAAGTAGACTCTGCAAATACTTAAACCTGGGTGAAGAGAAGGTCCATGTGAAGTCTTTGGAAGAGGAGGAAAGGGAATGGCCATCCACCCCTCCACTTCCAGGTGCCCTTCCTCCAAGTGTTGAATGCCCAGCTCTAGAAGGGGTTTCTCCTTCTGCCTGCTGGAATACAAACCCTAACCTTCAAGCAATTGGGAGGAAACCTCTCCCAGGAGCTCCTCCGTCCATCCCAGAAGTCTGGGATCTTAGGAATGGGGATCTCGTGCCTCTTCTTAGCTGCACTTCAGCTCTTTGAGGACTTGTAATAGCAAGTGGCAATGACTCAAATTTGAGTGTTCTCGCCATGTTAGGGTAGGGAAATTGTTTTCACTTTTTTTGATGTTTGGAGTGGATTGCTCAGGATCGACTTTTCCAGTAGATGCTCAAATATTCATGTTGCCCTGCACTCTGGATATATTTTCATGTGATGATCTTCTGGATTTCCTTAAAAGGGACAGTCTGTCTTATTTTCTTCTTTTCACTTTCAGTTATACTTCCCCAGAAATGTTTCATTCAACCACAAGTAGGAAGGTGCACGACTCCTGCTGGTCGCTTTTATTTCGACACAATAACTGGGAAGTGTACGTTGTTTGTTTATAGTGGATGCGGAGGGAATGAAAACAACTTCTTAACTTCGGAGGAATGCCTACAAGAATGCAAACCTACTGGTAGGGAAGTTTTGCAATCTAGGTCCTGAACTAGTATTAGGGAAACTGGAGCTCATCATTGGGATCAATCAGTAATCATTTAGAAAGTTAAAAATACTCTCAAAAATTCATAACTAAGTGCCCTAAAAGTAGCCTTTTGTTTTTATGGTTTTCTCTGCAAATGGTTATGTGAGCATTTCCACATTAGAATGGACAACGGGAATCACATAGCGATTACACACACTATTGAAAAATCTACTGTTGACAACTTGATTTTCATTGTCTCCTTTCCAGGGTAACACTGACTACAATTCTTGATTGGATTGATAGAATCCTTTGAGAGGGGCTGGATTCAGCAGCTGAGGAAGGAATCCAAACTTCCATGGAGTCTCCCACTGAAACTCTTTCCATGCATTGAATTCTAAGCATTCTCTTAAATAAACATACAAATGCTTTGACATGCTAATATGCAGTTTCTGAAAAACTATTTGCACTACTCCTTTTATTCTATCATGCCATTGACAACATTGCAAACAGGAGACCCCAATACAGAATATTTAGGGAATATATCAGATAGAGAGAATATTCATAAACATCTTGTGGGAATAGAGAATGCCGAGCATCTGATCTGGCAGGAATATTTGCTTGGCCTTCCTCCCACACAGTCAACCCTTTTGAGATGGGTCAGGAACTCTATCCTATGACAGAAGGATAGTGAGAATGATTGGTTTGTGTGTAAGCTTGCAAAACATGTAAGGTATTTCCTTTTCTCTTTCCACATGTCTTTAATTTATTAAATGCAACATTGTTACACTAAGCTGTTTTCTTCAGCACTGTTTAACCAGTATGAGGATACGTAGTTACTCATGGTCCCTACATATCTACTCATTATTCAAATCATGTGAATGTTCATCTGCATTTCCTACAATGCAGCGATCCCCAATCTTTTTGGGTCTGCGGACCAGTAGGGTTATCGGCAGCTACGGTTATGGGGGAGAGGGGATAGTTTTTGTACAAGCAGCAGGAGTGGAGTTTCGTCCACTCGCCCATTGCTTGCGCGGCCCGGTTGTCAACGGTTGGGGACTCCTGCAATAGTGCATAAAAAAATTGACTAGACTGAGCAAGCACCAGACCCTTGTGTTCAACTGCATGTTCATTCAGACTTGCTCACTTTGTTTTAGATTGCCTCTAACCAAAATTTAGGTACCTTTTCCAACCAAACACGGAGATGTGTATATCCACAACATGATCTCCCTCCACACCAATGAATGATGATATTAAATAGACTAGATGGTGGAAAGTCCCCTTCCCATATGTTAGATTGACTTTAAAAAACTGTTGCCTGGAATGGATGACCAGAGATGTATTATTCCCAATCACATCATACTTTTGGGATTAGCATAAAGGACAGTATGAACTTTGGTTGGAGGATTGCTCCATTTTCATGGAAGGCATTTAGTTAAATGAGGAGGGACACGTTGGAGATGAGGGTATAACTCAAATTTGGGGAAGCTGATTTTATGAAAGACAAATGCTAAACCAAATACAGTATATGAACAAACCCCTTCCTTCCTTCCTTCCTTCCTTCCTTCCTTCCTTCCTTCTTTCTCACCTGACATCATTATAATGGGGGGAGCAGGTCATGTTCAACTTGCAGATCCACTGTACTCCCATTTTTTTATTTCTAACCAAAATAAAGATGTTTCTTAAATTTAAAAAACCAAACATGTAAGAATGTAAAAACTGAAATTTTCAAAGGAATAACATTATGTGCAGAAATGGAAAAAGGTAGGACAAATACATAAAAGACAAAAAGAACGGGAATGAATCTGTAAGAACGGCCTTGCAGATCTTCTCAATGAATTTGGGACATGTAATGCTTTGGGAGTCAGGAATAGATGTGCATGTTCTATAATTGGTATAAGGTTTTCATGATCAATATTTGAATGAACACATCTTTCCTTGGCTACTACTGGCCTTGCAGGAGTTAGGTGATAATCAAGATGAGCAGGAAGAGTTCATCTATGGGGTGGAGGAAGCCTCGGGAAGAGCAAGAGCCGGAGTAAGGGGAAATGCATCTGCTCCTTCCACATCAGGTACCAAGATGTGAGTATAAACCACAGATTCCCAAGGGAGGGGCAGCTGTCACGTAAATGGGAGGAGATAATATAGGGCCCCTACTAGTGATCTTGAGAATTGGGGCGGGGAGTGGAACAACACACATACATTTTAGAAGAGTTTGCAGTCTAGAGTTAATCAGTTGAGATGGACTGCTATAGAAATTAAAGAAACAAACAAATAAAAATAATAAATTTTCCCTCTCATAGCCCTCAACTTGTTTCCCATGGGAATTTGGGAGAAGGGGAGTGAGAGTGATGTAATGGTACATCGGAATGATCTTGGAAAAAGAGAGAAAAAATTGCTACCTAGCTAAGGATCAGATAAATGCTAGGGAAAGCCCATAACTAAATAAGAGGCAGAACAAGAAATTTAGAAGAGGTTCACTCTAATTGATCAGGTGGTTAAAATGAGACAGTGGGAGATTCATACTTTTAGACTTGCAAGATTCTCTTAACTCAGCCTTACAATAAAGTGGAATAAGCTCACCATTTTTCCTGTCTGATTTACTTGGGATGGGGAGGGGGGGGCTTACATCAGGCCAGAGTCAAAGTCACAAGGTTTCAGATCAGAAGGAAAGGCACACGGGGTCTGGTAAGCAATCGGTTGTTGCCAATGGAGAGGCTTGAACTCTATGCTCTTCTTAAATAGAAACAGCCCCAGTGTTGCTTATTTGGAGGAATGAGGTTCCTTGCAGAATGTTCTTGCTCTGCTCTGCTCTACTGTCCGAGTGGTGCACCCTTGCTCAAACTCCTCATCTTCAGATAGCAATAGCAGCACCAGCACCACAAGCACTAATTTCATCTTCCTTCAGCAACTCAGGCAGCAGTTCATCCAGGTTTTCTGGAATGCTCATTGTTGGTCTCCTTATCAGAGGTAGAGCTGGCCACAAAACCTAGAAAAATGTGTACTAAAAATGGGATAACACTTTAAAATGTGAACATATTCAAATGCTGGTAGAAAGTTGGATAAAAGTTTGTGCTCGCCTATATGTCATGAAGTAAGAGAAAAATGACTGTAATAAGAGTGTGCTTTTGTCTACTTTGTTATATGGAACTGAAAGTGGGAAACCTGGCAGGGACACCCCAGGAAGCTAA